GTGCCTTGATGAGGAAGTATGGTCTTGCTGCAGACAACGTTCTAGATGCAATGATCGTTAATGCAGATGGTAAATTACTTAACAGAACAGCAATGGGAGAGGATTTGTTTTCGGCAATTAGAGGAGGCGGTGGAGGGAGTTCTGGGGTAATTCTAGCATGGAAACTCAAGCTTGTTCCTGTTCCTGAAACCCTAACAATCTTTCAAGTAACGATAGAACAAGACGCAGGATACAAGATACTTTCAAAATGGCAACGAATTGTGGAGAAGCTCGTTGATGATCTCTTCATACGAGTGTCGTTCCAAGTTCCCCGGAACAAGACACTGAAAACAGAATACACAGGTCAGTTTCTTGGCGTGAAAGGCACTTTGATGGAGGTTATGAAGAAGGATTTTCCGGAACTAGGGTTAACTAAGGAGGATTGTACCGAAGTTAGCTGGATTGAATCCGTTCTTTCCAACGCTGGCTTTCCAACAAGTTCTCCTAATGAAGTTTTGCTTGACCCCAACTCGTCCCCTTTTGGAAAAATGTACTTTAAAGCAAAGTCAGATTTTGTGACAGAACCTATTCCGGCTGTAGGGCTTGAAGGAATGTTCAGTAGATTGATTGAACAAGACATGTCAACTATGTATTGGACTCCTTACGGTGGAATGATGGCGAAAATTCCTGAATCTGAGACCCCATTTGCGCATAGAAACGGAACCATCTTCATGATTCATTATGCCACGTTCTGGACGTCAGAGAGCGACAAGAGTTCAAACAAACGAATGAGATGGATCAGAGATATATACAGTTACATGGCATCATATGTCTCAAGCAAACCAAGGCAAGCATATGTTAATTATCGTGATCTAGACTTGGGAAAAAATAAAAAAGACTCAAAGGCTAACTTCATAAAAGCTCAAATGTGGGGAGCACGGTACTTCAAGAACAATTTCAACAAGCTTGTGAAAATTAAAACAAAGGTTGACCCAGAGAATTTCTTCAGACACGAGCAGAGTATCCCGCCGCTACCCATCTCTAAGAAGCCAAGTTCACGGACAAATAAGACGTAATACTTGATTGCTCAAAAATAAAAAAAGACGTAATGCTTATTTAAATGTTTATTATAATAACATATACTCCCTCCTTTTTATAATATTTCACAAATTAAGCGTGTTTTAGAGTTTCGAGAAAAACTTAAGTATCGTTTTAGAGTTTAGAGACAAAATTTATTAATGTTATATAATATTTTATTTTTCTAATGGTTGAAAAATGGTTAGGTGTATAGGTAATTATGTTTTTATCCTGAAAATATGTAAAATTAAATGTTTCTTTAATCTTTGTGCAAAAACCTAGAATGAAAGAATAATAAAATAGAAGATTTTTTTTTTAAATGGTAAGAGGAGGAAAGAAAGTGTAAGTACATGTATTTCTCGAAGATTAATGTTAAAAAATATAACAATTTGTACATAATATCAAATCATGTGTATTTGTTTAATATCATTTTTATTTAGGTATATTGTATCAAATCTCTCTTTAAGGAATTATTATTTTTAATTGTTTTTTTTGTTTGATTCAAATAAAATGAGAGTAACTGAGTGTTAATTTTTTTTTTTTTAAAATTGATACTCTATTTTCTTCCACTATATCTTTATATAATTAGAGCATCTCCATCAGCGAACTGGAAGCGCGATTCCCAGTTTAATTATTTTGATTATTATTATTTTTATTTGATTTAAAAATAAAAATTAATAATCGAACCAATCGCGAACCACCACATGTTGTGAGCTCTGCAAAATAATGATGAACTCGTCTCACTGTGGAGAATTCACGCGACACGATTTTGTCAAAGCAAATTATTTTGTTGTGAACCCTGCAATAGTATTTTAGATAAATAGAATTATTTATAAAATCAATGCAATTTATAATTAATTTTCAGCTGAAAATAAATATAATTTGCATTGGAATCGTAAAATGACACTTTTTTGTAACAAGAAAAAAGGTTAAAATGGCACTTATTATGAAACAAAAGGAGTATAATATTCTTTTGGAATTTGTGTGAATCTTTGTAAAAATTCCTTAGTAGAGATGCTCTTAGACCCCAAGAGACCAGACATGAGTTATACTGTGAAATAGCAATATATCTCATTAACAAATGAGATTTTTCATTTGTAAAATACAGATTAAAAAAGTTGTTGAAATATATGTAAGTTGTTATTAATAATACCTTTTTAACCAATAGTATTTTAGATAAATAGAATTATTTATAAAATCATTGCAATTTATAATTAATTTTCTGTTGAAAGTAAATATAATTTGCATTAGAATTGTAAAGTGGCACTTTTTTTTCAACAAGAAAAAAGGTTAGAATGACACTTATTATGAAACAGAGGGAGTATAATATTCTTTTGGAATTTGTGTGAACCTTTGTAAAAATTCCTTAGTAGAGATGCTCTTAGACCCCAAGAGACTAGACATGAGTTATACTGCGAAATAACAATATATCTCATTAACAAATGACATGATAAAAGTTTAAATTTCTTATATATTAAAAGAGAAACATTGTAATAAATGCGTTTACACTGTAATTGACGTGTCGATCTCATAATCATTTGAGAATTAATGTGTTCATACACTAATTTTAAAAAAAAATTATTACATAATGTATTTATATATAGTTTTTAATTAATTCATTTTTCCTATATTTTTAATCTTTGTATTAATAATTACAACTTTATACGTGAAATTAATGAATAATATATTTACTGTAAAAATTAAAAATCATTAAGATTTGCATGGTTTGTAGAAATTGAAAGTTTCATACCTTGCCGAAGTTGGTCATGGTTGAGGCTTTGGTACACAATAACAACAAATACGGTGATTAATTATGAATTAAAGAAACTGAGGTAAAAAACAGTATACGTAAATTCGGATCTTTAGTTTAGTCAAATATTAACAATTTTTATAAGTTTTCACATCAGATCAACAATTAGAAATAAAATCAAATTGGTAGAAGAAAATCAGAAATAAAAAAATTAAAAAAAAATAATAATCACAAAATCGATTAAAAAATAGAATTCAGATACCAAGTGAAGATGTCCTTTTGTAATATATATTATTTTTATTGTTTACGGGTACAATTTGATTTTCTTCATATGAAAAATGTTATTAATTTTTAGGTTTGTTTATTTTTACTTGATTTATTTAAGAATCTACTATCATGTGTTATTTTGAACAAAAATGTTTTAAATCTTAATTAACGGTATATTCATATATTTATCATTACATTTATATACTTTTACATATATATACATGTACACATTGACATGGGAGACTATATAACTAAATATTCACCACAAGTGAAAATTTTAATTCTTATTGAAGTTGGATTTTTTTTTTAATGTTTTCTTTCATTATCGCTCAAATTGTAGTGAAATGTTGTGTAAGTAGTTTTTTTCTTTTTTATTCAAATATTATTTATATTTTATTTGATTTTACATGTCTTTAGAAATTATAATAGGAAACTATTAGTTCACATCAAAAATGTCTAAAATTTATATAAAACGAAATCAAACAAATAACAATAGTTTTTGGTTATCATCGAAAAAGTTAAAAACATCAAACATTTAAACCAAACAAACCAAAATAAATATAGATTTAGAATGATAGTTATATTTTAAGACATTATAAAAATAATGTAAACTGAACCAATATTTATATTAAACAAACATAATATCATTTTTATCTTAAAATAACAAAATAATAATCTCATTCCACGTAAAACACGTATTATTACCTAATTATACATTATTTTGATAAAAAGATGTAATATTTATTTATACGTAAAGGAAGGATAATGATAAGTCTTAGAGATTCTGAAACTATAGCCTGCTTTTTCGACCGTTTGCTAAGCTTCTAAGCCAAAAAGTAAACAAATAAAGAAGCAATAATAATTCAAAGACGTTGGAGAAGAAGAATCATTATTTATATACATGGCAGGTCTCTAAACTGCCACGTGTCAACCCGATATTAGCAAATGAGGACGTGTTATTTTGTTCATATGATATGATATGTTATGTTCTTGCAATCAATAATATAATGTTGGCATAGAGCGAAGTCCCATGCGTCAGTAGAGGAAGCAAAAAAGCAAGAGTCCTCTAAAAGTCTACAACTACATTTTCTATTTTGTTTTCCATATTTATGTATATATAAAGATATCATTATAATTTTTCATACATAAAATGATATTATTTTAATTTGTAATGTGTGTATTATTGAGATTCTTGCGACCTCTACGAGTAATTTATTTTCAAAATCGATTAAGAGAGAGATATCACCAGGTAGCATTCTTACTAATTTTATTTTACAAGGTCGATAATAAACTTTCGCAAACTATTTTAAAATGTCGATGATTAACGGATATCCATCCACAAGGCTATAAGTTAAAGCCTGAGAAACTAGAGGACTGATCCAATAGCGTAAATAAAAGTAAAGCGGTGGCATGAGAAAAATACAAAGACGACAAAATCTGTTAGGAAAAAGCTATAAACCCTTTAATCCCTCCAATCCAACTCATTTTGGTTGCTAATAATTTCACTTTATTTCATTTCATCAAATACATAACTGTTTAGCACATGTACATTTTCTAAAAGTATTTAAAAATTCGGAAAGGTTCCTCAAAAGAATTTATATTTGATGGCTTTATATATTCGGCTAGTTTAAAACACACACATAAATAACATAATTCCTTTATATATTTTCTTTAATAAATGACATATATATAAATAATTAATAATGTGAAATTATTCACAAAGTAAAGAAAGACATTAGTAATTAGTTTGTACTTTTTATGTAATGTTTACCTTTTATAAATTAATAAAGATACCTGTTAAGAAAAAAGACATTATATAATTTCCGGCTGGTTTAAAAACACGCAAAAATGATGAATAAATATTCGATATGAATAAATGATATGTATAAAATAAAATAAGTAATTTAATTTATAAACAGAACTCTGCTTCATTTTCTGTTCAATTCTCCTTTTATCTTCTTCTCTTTCTCTCTGTGCTACTTTTATCAACGCTTCGTACGTTCTGATTCGTCTTCTTCTTCTTCATCAGTAGAGAGAAGAAACCCTCGAAAATGGCGAAAGAGAAAGACCAAAACACTAAGGATAATAAAAACCTTCTAATCTGTTTCTTATGGAACTTCTCCGCCGAGCTCAAGCTCATCCTAATGGCGTTACTAGTTCTCTGCACTCTAGCTACTCTTCTTCCTTTCATACCTTCTTCTTTCTCCATCTCCGCTTCCGAGCTCAGATTCTGCATCTCACGCATCGCCGCTCCAGACGCCGTCAATTCCACCTCCCTCTCCGTCGTAAACAACCCGGGATCAGAAAACGGCGTCATAAAACGGCCGTTTAGTGACAACGCCGTAGTTGATAACGGCGATATTAAACAGAAGTCGGTGCTGATTAACGGCGATACAAAACGGCCGTTTACTGACAACGCCGTAGTTAATAACGGCGATATCAAACAGAAGTCGGTGTTGGATAACGGCGATACAAAACGGCCGTTTACAGACAAGACAGTAGTGGACAACGACGATATTAAACAGAAGATTAACGGCGTTACCAAACGGTCGTTTACTGGTTACGGCTGGGCGGCTTACAACTTCGTGCTAATGAACGCTTACAGAGGCGGCGTCAACAGTTTCGCCGTTATCGGCCTCTCCTCGAAGCCGCTCCACGTCTACGCGCATCCCTCTTACCGTTGCGAGTGGGTCCCACTCAACCAATCCGAGAACCGATTCCTAACCGACGGTTACAAAATCTTAACCGATTGGGGATACGGCCGAGTCTACACAACCGTCGTCGTGAACTGCACTTTCCCAGCCACCGTAAACGCTAAAAACTCCGGCGGGACTCTTCTCCTCCACGCCACCACCGGAGACGCAGATCGGAACATCACCGATTCGATCCCCGCCCTCACGGAAGCCCCGAACGCCGTCGATCTCGACCTCTACGACACCACCAACCACCGCCGCCGCCGGGAGAAATACGATTACCTTTACTGCGGCTCGTCTCTGTACGGTAACCTAAGCCCGCAGAGAGTGAGGGAATGGATCGCTTACCACGCGAGATTCTTCGGGGAGAAGTCTCATTTCGTGCTTCACGACGCCGGAGGGGTTGGAGAGGAAGTGCTGGAGGTGTTACGGCCGTGGATTGAGCTCGGGAGAGTGACGTTGCACGATATTAGGGATCAGGAACGGTTCGATGGTTATTATCATAATCAGTTTATGGTGGTGAATGATTGTTTGCATAGGTACAGGTTCGATGCGAAGTGGATATTTTTTTTCGATGTTGATGAGTTTATCAGTATTCCTCCGAAGACTACGATCTCGTCGGTGATGGAGGCTTTAGAGGGGTATTCTCAGTTCACTATTGAGCAGATGCCTATGAGTAGTCAGCTTTGTTTCTCCGGTGATGGTCCGGCGAGAACTTACAGGTAAACCGGAATTGAAAAGTATTGGTTTATTGATTGAGTTTTAACCAAAACATGTGCGGTTTAAGCATTTGGAATTAATCACTAATTTGGTTAAAGTAGCATCTGATTCTGTCAATAATATGTTCCTGTGAAAAGAGCTTTTTTTTTTTTTTTTATTGTTGTACGCTTTTTTAGTGGTTCGAATAGTGGTCCATGTGGGTAAAGAGTTGTTTTCAATGATTCTTGTAGCTTTCAGATTTCCAAAAATAATTCGAGATTTGCTAGAATTTGATTGATGAATGTAGGCCAGTAAGTTTGGTTCAAACGGGTAGTCCAATTCTGATAATTCTTGTTTTGGTCGCATAATTGTAATCCTACTGAATTTGTTTTTTTTTTTAATTGAATTGAACCTTTTTGGGGTAAAAGATACAAGTAATTTTGGTTAAATTTGATACAAAGCTTAAATATGATATCGGTTTTGGTTTAGTATATAAATACACATGCTTTGGTTGGTTAGTATTTTTTTCATTCTCAGTGATTTTACTATATTTTAAAAAAAAATTGGGTTGTACCGTTTGGATGTTTGATTTTTGTGATTGTGTGTTATCAGAAAATGGGGATTTGAGAAACTGGCGTATAGAGATGTGAAGAAAGTCCCACGACGGGACAGGAAATACGCGGTTCAACCGCGTAACGTGTTTGCGACGGGTGTTCACATGTCGCAGAATCTACAAGGGAAGACATACCACGGAGCAGGAAGCATAATACGCTATTTTCACTACCACGGTTCAATCTCGCAGCGTCGAGAGCCTTGCCGTCATCTTTTTAACGGGACTCGCATCATGTTTGATAACAATCCTTACGTTCTTGATACTACGATGCGTGATATTGGCCTTGCGGTTAAGACGTTTGAGATTAGAACGATTGGAGATCGGTTGCTTAGGACACGGCAATGATAACAAATTATAGTGGAGTAAATTAGAAGGGATGTTTTTCACTTTGCACTGTCTTGTAAAATCTTGAAAGGTATTTTTTAGGCGAATGTAATCTATGGAGCTTTTACTTTCTATCTAGTATTCTTTTGTTGTATTATAAAATGGGGTTCATAGAATCATACAGCTCAGAGTCACTTGGTATATAAGCATCTCTGTTATGGGATTTATAATATTTTTTGGTTATTTGTATTTGGAAAAGTGGTCTCTTTAATTATAAGTATTAGTGAAAGTAGTTGTGGTCTTCGATGGATCTTTGTCGTGTTAATTAACCAAAAGTTTCCACTTTTTCTTCTTTAGAATTGAGTGATGAAAAATGTCACAAAACTCGAATATTTTTGCATTGAGAATGTATATATATATGTTGCTGACAAAAAAATGTTATAGTTAATATAATGCGAGTTAAATTCCATTCGGTTTTAACAAATTTAAATTGTCACTAGTTAAACTAAAGTTATATTCTCATTCATCAAATTACACAGTAAACTCTTTTGTTTGCTTTACCCTTTTTATTTAATTATTTATTACTAAAAATATTGGAACACAAGTGTGAGGTGACCCCCACGAAAAGGGTCCTTCCAAGTTTCGTGGTTGTTAATTGTCGTAAAGGCTGGAAAGTCTCTCACAGCCAAATGCTCAACAATCATGCAAATTATTTCCAATCAACAAATCTCCTAACAACGACAACAATTATTCATTCAGTCATTTTCATTTCAATTACATCGAAGTTAACTATATACAAACAAAATAGATTGCAAATAAAAGAAAAAAACACAAACAAGGGAATGTGCACCGACGATTCCGCATTAAATGTATATGAAACAAGACATGTAAAAACAAGTTTTTAGCACATTCACGAACCCTACCATTCCCACATTAATATCGATTCACAAATTACTAAGTTATTTATTTTAAATTACTTCAATTATGCCATAATTTTGATTGTAATGGATGGGTTTATATTCATTTAACACGTTCCAAGCTGTCGGAACACACATTTAAGAGAGGTATCCGAAACTAGATGATTTCTTCAACTGTTCTATTCTCCGAGAATCTACAGTTTCCATTTATATCAATAGTTTTTTTGTTCAGAAATGGGTTCCTACATGATTCATCACCCAGAATATGATGATGCAGCCACGCGATCTCGACTAGTTTCTATAAACTGGAATTAAAATATTTACACAAAAACATTTCTGGTTATAAAAATACAACTAACATACTTCTCATTTTTTTTATAATCCAATATCCGACCACTAAGCGTGATCGACTAACCCACCGGGACTAAGTCCATACCATTACAGAATTTTTAAGTCTCCACTTAAAGATCCCTGGTTATGCGAAGTGGTCTGGAGGACGAGAACAGCCCATGTGAATACCCTCGTGGCCCGGGCAAATGTTTGCAGCTATGGGGACTCGAAGCCAGAGTATTGAGGCCGAAGCTCTCTCAGCTGGACACCATCCCACCACTAACATACTTCTCTATAATACAACTAATCTAGTACGAGATGTGCGTCTTTAACTCTTGTATTTAAATCGCTCGATTCTAATTTTTAAAAGTATGTTTCATTTCTTAGGAAATTATTACCAAAGAAAAAATAACAACGCTTTCTGTATATTACATTTCATACCGTAGTTAAATTAAAACTCAGTTATCGTTTAAACGGCTTGAGCTTCCAAGAAAGCATTGAAATTCTTGCCGGCTTCAAGCAACCGTGGTGAGATAGCCGGTGATGTCGGGTAAGAAACCGGCGACGTCGTGGAGAATCGAACCTGACGAAACGAAGTCTCCATGGATCTTCTGTTTTTCGAACCAGACATCTTTAAAACTCCTTTGATCTCTTTCTCAACAGGTTCCTTGTCGAACACGAAAGCCGCTGAAACCGGATCGTCGTGATCGTTTTTACCCGAACCGCTTTTGATTAGCTCGGATGGTAAGTCGAATAAGTGATGACCACCTCCTTCTTCTCCCCCTGATTCCGAAGCGTATGAGTTGCAGTCGAACTTCTCCATTGAAGCTCGAGCTGAGATCACTGTGGTGGTTGTGGTGGTTTCTCTGACCGAGACGGTTCTTGAAACGGTAACGGAGGATGATGAAGATGTTGTCGTGGTGGTGGTTCGGGTAATGGAAGAAGAAGAATCGTCTCTCCTTGATGATCTGACCGGTTTTGCTTTACCAAAACCGGGGAGGTATAAACACAGAGCGTTGCATTTGAACCCGTCTTCTAATGTATTGTTATTGTTAATGCTCTTATTCGATTCGGTTTTGATAAAGAAAGAGTTTCTAAGAGACAGTCTCTTACTCGTAGATCCACAAGATTTGCTTCTCTTCAACGATCCCAACGAGGACGAGTCTTGTTGTTCCTTGCCTTTTAGCGCACGCATCAAACCCGAACGTTGTTTAGGAGAATTGTTGGTTGAGTTTGGGAGGCTACGGCTCACGAACTTAGTCCTCACTGGCTGCAACGGAAGAGGCATTGGCGCATCTAAGTCTCTAGGAGGTGACATCGCCGGTAACAGCATCATATCGAAGCTATCGTTCCTTCTTAAGGACGGTGAGAGAGACAACGACTTGACTGATATGGGGTCCATCGATATCTCTCTCTCGGAATGCCTTAAACTCGTCTGTTTGACAAGAATTTTCTTCTTCGGCTCGTCTCTGCCTAGGACTTGCCAGTCTTCATGAATACTCCCGTCTCTGAAGCTTATCGTTGGCATTAGAACTGCAGCTGCCATTTTCTTTTTTTTTGGTCTGAAAACGTCTGACTAGTAAGATGGGTAATGACAAAGGCTACGTCTTAAAGGAGAAAGAGATGAAGGGTACTTATAGAATGAGTAAGCATGGACTGCACGTTTGGTGGCAAATGGTAGCTAACACTTGATCATGATTTGCACGTCCAGCTTTTCTTCTTACCTGCGTATTTATCTCAGCCAAAGGTTATTGACTTTATTACAATACAACATAAAAAAATCAGATGACTTTTTATAACATTATTATTACATGAGACCATGCCCAAGATTGAGACAGGATCCGACAAAGGTAGATATGCCCGCACGAATCAAACTTATTATAATATAATATACCCAAAGATTTGGAATATTACCCGAAGTTGTGCAGACCACAAGCTGTTGATTAGGGAAGAAAGACGACTAAATAATTGAAATTCATTGCATAAGCTTAAAGTTACAAAACATATATGATGGTTTATTGGAAGAAACTAAAAGTTTTTGGACTCTACTGAAGGGAGTTGTAAAACAATATTAACACAACCGAGATACCGATGATAACTGGAAAAGATGAGACCAAGTACAGCGCTCCATAACCCTGAAACAGATTAAGAACAAAGGCAAGAGAAAACATCAATCAGATCCCAAGTTTTGACTAGAAAAGACACTGCAAATGTTGGAAGAAAGAGTAATGATTTCAAGGTAAAAACCACAACTATGTGAAAGTATTGAGAACAAACCATGGCTTTCTTGGCTACTCCAGTGTCATCATCATCGACATCGGCTTCTTCGATGGCAGCAGCTGAATCCCACTCTAGGTTGAGTCTCTTGGCTGCCTCTTTTGGATCTATTCCGGTGTCTGTGGATTTCGCATACAATGATTTTGTTCGCTGCTTCTTTGAAACCTCAACCTTACCAGATACATAAGATAAAGGTTAAGAAACAGAGTTGTACGCAGCTAACTAACTAAATGTATGCTAACGTTCACCAGAGTGTTACACAAACAAAAAGGTTCTTCATTTGAAAGGTCATGTACAAATATACACATTATCCCTCGGGGTTAGATCATCTAATACAAAAGGCTAACTTCATGCCTAGTCAATTGCATATTATCTTTCTGGGTTTCTTGTGGAATAAATTTTATGCCCTAAGTATGTATGTTACAATGGATGGCTCATGAAATTTAGTCTACATGACTTGTACCAGCTTAATAAGCTTATGGCAGTTGTTGCATAATGGATTTGAATTGTCTCAGGAGAAACAGTGGTCGTTTTCCTCTTATCAATGGTCACATATAGTAACAAACAATTGTAGGACTAAAAGAAGAGGTACCTCCAAATTTGGCCAACGGATCATTTCCTCATACAACATCTGGAGAGTGAGACGGTCTTTAGGGATTTTCCCTTCATTTACCTGTGAGAAGACAGAAATACATTATTAAAGATATTCATACTAATGCCAAAGGTAAAGCTATGACCCTCACCAAGCTAGCACTTGATTACCCCAAGTAACTACAAGAAAAAGCAAGCTGCTTAACTTGGATTCGTGAAGCAACACCTTGATATCATGACGAGTAATATGATCTATTTTACAAGCACATACAGTAAATGCCAAAAAACAGTTTTGCATACTAAACCTAGATGTTAGACAGACAGCATAATGTTCCATTTAAACAAAGAATGCGACAGATCAAGACTAAATGCAACTCAAGAAAGGTTAGATAACCAAGGCTTCCAAGTCACTGATGTACTCGTGTACAATAACGAAGAGAATCACACTCCACATAGTCACCGAACAAACCAACTAAATCACAACAGCATCTTACATATATACTCCTAGACCGAGCCATATATGAGTTATTTTTCGCTTTTTGAAGAAAACTAGCACATCTTCGCCTCATAATTCACTTTTAAGTAGTGCATCTTAAGAGATTAAATCAGAGAAAGAGAAAAGTGAACCTGTTCCAAGGCTTCAGCTAAGTCTTCCCTACTAGGGGCATCTGCATCTTCAATTCCAAGCAGTCTCCTTTTTTCCAGTTCCCTTGGGTCCTCAATCATTATTGTCAACTTGACCTATATGATTTGAAGTTTTATTACAAAGCTCAGACATGACCGTTTTAAGCAAATTCTTGTACAAGAGGAAACATAACGACTATTTTACCTCATTGAACATCATGTCTCTGTTCCTCCTAAGTAGCTCCAATACCTAACCACAAGAAAAACATTTTACTTTTGACATGTATTCATGCAAGTTAAGAGACTTGAGTTAATTTAGAACGAAGTCCAATTTTTGTCTGTATATACTAAGAGACAAACCATGAGCATAGAGCTGAAAACAGATTATCAGAACGTACATAAAAGAAATACACTAAATTCTGCAGGAAAATCTAATCCACTATGACATATATTTAAAACCGAAGTCCATAGTGTCTGAAAACCACAAAACACCATGTAATATTATTACTTTTGTCCCAAAACATCACTTGTTCAGTTTTTCCTATGTCTTGTCTGTGGTGTTAAACTAACACTATCTATTATTTCAGTAAATACAAAAGAATCTAAAAATGGGAATTACAAACCCTTTTAATCTCATTGACGTATTTAAGATCTTCAGGATCCACTTCCCCTTCTTCTTCATCTTCATCATCGTCTCTATCTTCTTTCTCCTTCTCTTGTTGCTCCAGTGTTAACGGAACCGGAACTCTAATCTCCACCGCGTCTCCTTTCTCCTGCTGAGCTATCACTCTTCCGAACCTCCGATTCTTCAACTTTCCACTACTCCTACAGACTAACGGCAAGCAAACACCGTTATAACTCCGTTGGCCGGAAGAAACAGAGTACTGTAACGGTAACTGAAATATCTGCGTCGCAGCCGCCACCATTTTTTCCTCTTCTATATCCTTATCACAGCAAAAACTAAAAAATCTTCTTACAATTCACAGATTCTGCATCTTTGCTCTCGTTCGAAGAAGACGATTCAAATCATCATCCAAACTAGATTGCCCTCGAAACGCATGCCACTTGGATAATACTCCATCACTTAAAAAGAATATTAAATTAGAGCCCCGAATATTATTATATGGCCCGATATTATTATATGGCCCAATATGAGGCTCATTAGTAAGGCCCATTTATACGCTATGGGTTTGGCGGGAAAATGATAGATAAGCCCAGTTAATTTCCCGCCATAACGGCACTTCAGTAATGTCTTTACCTTCATAGTGGGAACTGGGAAGAACACAATTTGCCTCCTTTTACTCTCTCTCTCCGTTCAAACGAAAATTAGGGTTTTACTCTCCCAGTGAGATTTGAAAAAATGGAAGCGTTTGGTGGGTTTGTAATGGACGAGCAAGCGATTCAAGTCGAGAACGTCTTCTTAGAGTTTCTCAAGAGGTTCGTTTTCTTTTTTCGCTCTAATTCGATTTGGTAAAAATTAACTTTTTGGTTTTTGTTTCTCAGTTTTCGATTAGATGCGAACAAGCCGGAGCTGTACTACGAGGCGGAGATTGAGGCAATCCGAGGCGGCGAATCGACCATGATGTACATCGATTTCTCACATGTTATGGGTTTCAACGACGCTCTTCAGAAAGCAATAGCTGACGAGTACCTTAGGTTTGTTTGTTTGTGTGTTTTCTCTAATACAAAACCCTAGTTTTTATGTTTTCTTTTGGGTTTTTATTGAATTTGGGGTTGGAAATTGGGTTTAGGTTTGAGCCGTATTTGAGGAATGCTTGTAAGAGGTTTGTGATTGAAATGAATCCTTCTTTCATTTCTGATGAGACTCCCAACAAAGATATCAATGTCTCCTTCTACAACCTCCCTTTCACTAAGAGGTAATTAAAGTTACGAACTTTATGATTTTGACATTAATTGTTGCTGTTTTTTCTTTGCTATCCATGAACATTTGATATCTTAGGTTTATTTTTTAGTGTTTTGGTGATTGTGATGTTAAATTGAGCAAAACTTAGAGTAGCTTACATTTATGATTTGACGATAAAGTAGTGTGTGGTGGTTGTGATAATGACTGTTTTAAACATTTTCAGGTTGAGGGAGCTAACCACTGCAGAAATTGGGAAGCTTGTGTCTGTGACTGGTGTGGTTACTCGAACTAGTGAAGTGAGACCTGAGCTTCTTTACGGAACGTTCAAGTGCTTAGATTGTGGCAGCGTTATCAAGAACGTTGAACAACAGTTTAAGTATACACAGGTAATTCAATGCTTGGTTCATCAGTTTTTAAGACGCTGTTAGCTTAAAGTTCCTTGTTTTAAACTTTTTTATTTGTCATTCGTTGTATTGATGCAGCCTACCATCTGTGTGAGCCCAACTTGTTTGAACAGAGCAAGATGGGCACTGCTTAGACAAGAGAGCAAGTTTGCGGATTGGCAAAGAGTTCGGATGCAGGAGACTTCTAAAGAGATACCTGCTGGTTCCTTGCCACGCTCTTTGGATGTCATTCTGCGTCATGAGATTGTTGAGCAGGCCAGAGCCGGTGACACGTAAGCTTCCCTCTTGCGCTAGTTCTATAAGTTTTGTCAACATCTTCGTAAGGATCAAGAATTGCATTCATTTTGAGTCTTGTTTTTGGTTTTTGTTCTGGCAGGGTTATTTTTACCGGAACAGTTGTTGTCATACCTGACATATCGGCGTTGGCAGCACCTGGAGAGAGAGCAGAATGCCGCCGAGACTCATCTCAGCAAAAAAGCTCAGCTGCTGGACATGAAGGTGTCAAAGGTCTCAAGGCTCTGGGAGTTCGAGATCTTTCGTATCGGCTTGCCTTTATTGCAAACTCAGTTCAGGTTTGTCGACTATAGTAACTGTCAAATCAAAACTTAAAAAGTGAGACGTGTGGATTCAATATCATGTTTGTTTTTTTTCTTTTCAGATTGCTGATGGTAGCAGGAACACTGACATGAGGAACCGCCAAAATGATTCTAACGAAGATGATCAGCAGCAGTTCACGGTAAGGCTTGTAATATTATATATATGAATTGAGACGGCTATCGTTCCGCAGAATCCTGTTTTTTCCTTTTTATGTGACCTCGTACATGTTTACTATATTTACACTAATAAAATTGGTTCTTGTTAAAACTTGGTAGGGAGAAGAGCTAGACGAAATTCAGCAGATGAGGAACACTCCTGATTACTTCAATAAGTTAGTTGGAAGCATGGCGCCAACCGTTTTTGGTCATCAAGACATCAAGCGTGCGATTCTGCTTATGCTCTTAAGCGGTGTGCATAAAACCACTCATGAGGGCATCAACCTTAGAGGAGACATCAATGTTTGCATTGTTGGGGATCCCAGCTGTGCTAAATCCCAATTCCTCAAGTACTGATTCTCTTTTGAAGACTAATTCCTACTGTTTTTCTGCTTCTATAATCTGTGCCGCTCAGTGTCTCGTGGTTGCTTGCAGGTATACCGCAGGCATAGTACCAAGATCTGTGTATACATCTGGGAAGTCCTCTTCTGCAGCTGGGTTGACTGCAACTGTGGCTAAAGAACCAGAAACTGGGGAGTTCTGCATCGAGGTAACCTAAACTTTGTAGATTGCGATGAACAATGCTAGCCTCTTTTGGTACTGTGGTTTCTATGTTTAAATTATGATTAATACCCATTTTGTTTTTTACCAGGCTGGTGCGTTAATGCTTGCTGACAATGGAATTTGTTGCATTGACGAGTTTGACAAGATGGATATCAAAGATCAGGTAAGTGTTCATCATTTCTGTTACAGCACAGAGGATTGAGTTTCCTTGACTGTGGCTAATTGCGATTACTGTACATTTGGGCACAAAGGTTGCTATTCACGAAGCCATGGAACAGCAAACAATAAGCATCACGAAAGCTGGGATTCAAGCAACCTTGAATGCTAGGACATCAATTCTTGCAGCAGCTAATCCTGTTGGTGGGCGATATGATAAATCTAAACCACTTAAGGTGAGTTGAGTATGAAGGGGTGCATATTTTTGATTTTTATCTTTGTTTAAGAACAACATTCATGGCTTATACATTTCTAATTGTGGTCTGATAATACTGTTGTCAGTACAACGTTAACCTTCCACCAGCCATTCTCTCGAGGTTTGATCTTGTGTACGTTATGATTGACGACCCTGATGAGTCAACGGATTACCACATTGCCCATCATATCGTACGAGTTCACCAGAAGCATGAAGCAGCTCTTTCACCTGAATTCACTACCGTGCAACTCAAGCGGTACATTGCATATGCAAAAACCTTGAAGCCAAAGGTTGTTAACTAATCCAAAAATGGTTTTGATTTCAAAAGGCTCTTGTTTTGGAGATGCTAATATCTTTTTGTATCTTCATCTGAGTTGCAGCTAAGCCCAGAAGCAAGAAAGCTACTGGTCGAGTCCTATGTTGCACTACGTGGAGGCGATACAACTCCTGGCACAAGAGTCGCATATCGAATGACAGTGAGGCAGCTAGAGGCACTGATCAGGCTCTCAGAAGCCGTTGCTAGGAGTCATTTAGAAACTCTGGTCATTATCCATAACCATTCTCTCGCTTCTTTTTTTTTTCTTCTACAAGTCATTAATTTGCTTCATCTGGAATTTTGTTTTTGTCTTTCTCAGGTGAAACCAAGTCATGTTCTTTTAGCTGTCAGACTCTTAAAGACCTCAGTTATCAGGTGATTTTCAAGCCTCTCCTATCTCTTGATTTCTCCCAAATTCTTAATCGTAACGTATTTGTTTCTCTTATCCAGTGTTGAGTCAGGGGATATCGATCTTTCGGAGTATCAAGATGCTAATGTTGACAACATGGACGACGCAGATGACGCTGAAAATCCTGTTAACGGAGATGAAGATCAACAGAATGGTTCAACTGAGCCACCTCCTGCTACTGCAGGTACTTAAAGCACCGTTTATGCTCTTTATTTTACCGAGACACCTAGGATTTAAGAACCATAACGAACATCATGGTGTGTTATCAACAGATAATGGAGAAGCAGCTCCAAAGCTGGTGATTAGTGAAGAAGAATATGATAGAATCACACAGGCTTTAGTCATTCGCCTTAGACAACACGAAGAAGCTGTTAAAAAAGACAGTAAGCACTCTTCAGTGTCTCGCAACCTTTACTTGCTTGCTCTCCTCAACTCTTAAAGTAAATGAACTCTTTTTCTCTTTAGGTTCGGAATTGCCTGGAATGAGACAGAAGGAGCTGATTCGATGGTACATCGATCAGCAGAACGAGAAAAAGAAATACAGTTCACAAGAGCAAGTCAAACTCGATATCAAGAAACTCAGAGCCATTATTGAGGTAAATTTAGAACTATTTTCCAAATGAAGATTGTTTCAAATTGTATGTTTCTTCCTGACACCAGAACATATATATATGTATGTACATTACAGAGTTTAGTATGTAAAGAAGGCCACCTCATAGTGTTAGCCAATGAGCAAGAAGTCGCAGAAGGTGACGAACCAAGAAGACAAAGAGACGAGAGGATCTTGGCCGTTGCTCCAAACTATGTGATCGAGTGATGTTACGAAGTGTTGTGTTCAATTTGTAGTTCTAAGTAGAATCCTATCTAAAACCTTGCGTTATATCATTTGGAACTAATTTTATTGGATTCATTTGGCTCAGTTTTACAAGTTTCACCTAATGTCATCTCCAGCAAAGAAATAATATATGTTCTGATCTTAACTGGTCTTCGCGATCTTTAAACGTACGGCATGAAGTTCAACACTGAAAAGGGAAACGGCCGATTAGTACCTGAACTATGGTCATATTGTCTGATCAATACCCAAACTATTTTACGGTGCGAATTTATACCTAATCTAATACAAATTTTGTATTTAGTATCTGAAGTATAGTCATATTGTCTTATCAGTACCCAAACTACTTCATTGTGCGAATTTATACCTGATC